AGACCCAGGTGGGAGCTGGACTTCCATTACCACCTTGCAGGAACACAGAGGTGTTAGCCTTGCACTTCCCCCTCCCCATGGTATCAGAAGGGCCCAGTGGAGAGCTGGGCTTACACCAGTACTCAGAGACAGTGATGCAATACAAATAGTTACCCTGCTTTTGCTGGAAAGGTATCAAAGGGGCCTAGACAAGAGCTGAACTTCCATCCTACCCAAGCTTTGTACTATACCTCCAGAGGGATACTAAACAAAATGATTAAGTCCCAGATTCTCATAATATTCAAAATGTCCAGAATAATCATTTGTCATTACAAGAACCAGGAAAGTCACAACTTAAATGACAAAAAACAATTAACAGACTCAATGATTAATTAGAGGTTTGAATTATCTGACAAGGATTTAAGCAGCTATCAAAAATAAAATACTTCAATGAGCAATTATAAGTTATCTTGAAACAAATGAAAAAAATATTTTTAAAATCTCAGCAAAGAAACAGAAATTATAGAAAAGAACCAAATGGAAATTATAGAACTTAAAAATACAATAACCAAAATAAAAACCTTACTGGATGGGCTCAATAGTACAGTGGAGATCACAGAAGATAGAATCAGTGAACTTAAGGACAGATTAATAGAATTTACCCAATCTAAACACCAGAAAGGATTTAGAAAGAATAGAATGAACAGAGTCTCAGGGACATAAGGGATAATAACAAAAGAGCTAATAGTCTTATCATTAAATTCCCAGGGAGAGAAAAGAGTGGGAATGAAAAATTATCCAAAGAAATTAGGAAAACTTCCCAATTTAGGGAAAAACATAAATCGACAAATTCAAAAAGCTAAGCAAATTCAAAGTAGGATAAAAAAATAAATAAAACAAAGAAATCCACACCACTGAAACACATAATTAGATTTCTGAAAACAAAGGACAAAGAAAAAAATCTTGAAAGCACCCAGAGAGAAATGGTACATTACTTACAGGTAAACACCAATTCAAATGAGCAAAGGTATCTCATCTGAAACCACAGAGGCCAGAAAGAAGTGACACACATTTTTCAAGTACTGAAAGAAATGATCTGTTAAGTGCAAACTATATTTAGCAAAAACTAACCTTCAGAAGTGAAAAAGAAATAAAGACATTCACAGATTAAGATAAACTAATAATTTCTTGCCAATAAACCTACCTTTAAAAAATAGCTACAGAAAGTACTCTAGATAAAAAGGAAATGATAACATAAGGCTTGGAACTTCAGAAAAGAAATAACATTGGGGTTCTGTTCCAAGATGGTGACATTAAGAGGCTCCTGAACGCAATTTCCTCCCATAGACACACTAAAACTACAGAAACTAGCTGAGCAACTCATTGGGCAAATGAGAAAAATATCTACATCAAAATGGGTAGGAGAGGCTGAGATACACACTCACCATAAACCCCACATCTAGCACAGCAACATACAATTAGAAAGAAACTCATAACTTACAGCTTCTCCCTAGGTAGTGAAGAGTCTAGATCAAACATATAGCACCCTAACTTTTAAGATTTCCACCTAAGGGATGAGCCCTCAAAACATCTAATTCTGAAAGCCAATGGGACATTCATCCAGAAGACCCAGAGGAACTTGCAGTTGTGGATGCCAGAGTACTGTAGCAAACAAAGAAACAGTTTTTAACTGGCTGTTGCCTCAGGGCTCAGCACAGAGGCAGCAGTCAGAAATACCCACCTCCAGGTCTTTCCCTGAAAGTGCTTGATTTGCATATCTTAAAAGATGAAGTCTGAATCTAGTGCTGACTGAGCTCAGCACCTTTGGGATACTGACAGATCTTGGCACACCCTGAACTATTGGGAACTACTGAAAACAAAGAAAGCGGCTTGAACAATCACTAAGGTTTTAGAGAATATAAGGACTTAGGGCCAGGCAGAACAATAAGGTTCATCTCCTGCATGAGGCCACTCCTTCAAGACCAGGAAAGGTGGCTGTTTTACCTAATGTTTTACGCGCGTGCGCGCGCACACACGCACACGCACACACGCACACACACACACACACACACACGCACACGCACACACACACACACACACACAGAGCATGGAGAGTCAGGGGAAATGAAGAAATAGAGGAAAATGTTCCAAGTAAAAGAACAAAAGAAAACTCCAGAAACAGCCCTGCATGAAATGGAGATAAGTATTTTACTTCATAGAGTTCAAAATAATTATAAAGATGCTCACCAAGGTCAGGAGAACAATGCATGGACTAAGTGAGAATTTCAACAAAGAGATAGAAAGGTAAAAAGTATCAAACAAATCACATCAGGGAAGAATATAACAACTGAACTGAAAATTTCAATAGACTATTTAACAACAGATAAGATCAAGTGGAAATAAGGCTCAGCAAATGAAACAGGACAGTACAGCTCATTCAATCAGAGAAGCAAAAAGAGAAAAGAAGGAAAAGAATGAAGATAGCATAGGGGACTGATAGGATGCTATCAAGGAGACCAATATTTGCATTATATGGATCCCAGGAGGAGAAAGAGAAAATGGCAGCTTATTCAAAGAAATAATAGTTTAAAACTTCCTTAAACTGGGGGAAGAAACAGACATCCAGGTCTAGGAAGCCTAGAGACTTCCAAATAAGATAATCCCAAAAGATCCACACAACGCACATAATTAAATTGTAAAAAGTTTAAGACAAGAGAATCTCAAAAGCAGCAAGAGAAAAACAATTTGTTGTATATAAGGGAACCCCCAAAAGACTACCAACAGATTTTTCAGCAGAAACATGATATATTCAAAGAGCTGAAGGAAAAGAACTGCCAACCAGGAATATTCTACCAGCAAAGCTGTCCTTCCGAATTGAAGGAGACATCAAGATAAGCAAAAGATGAAGGAGTTCACCACCACTAGATCGACCTTACAAGAAATGTTAAAGTGACTTCTTTAAGATGAATGAAAAGATGCTAATATGTAACAGGAAAACATATCATAATATAAATCTCACTGGTAAAGGTAAATACATAGTTAAACAGAAGTGAGTATATC